TAGAACAGATCCTGCTCTGCCCAACCCAACATCACCCTTACCAAGTCACTGGAAGGTCTTCCACAAGATTAAAGCCCTGCTTACTTCATCTACATGTCCAATCTACATCTCTAACTTTGTTAGCCACTGCTTTACTAAACTTCAAAGTGCTCCTCTAAGAATTCTAGCCTTTCCTGTCTGTCTTAATGGTGCAATCATTTTGACTATCTATCCCCATCTGGTTTGTATGGATATAAATCAGAAAGACCAAAAATATTTTTTAGTTAACCTCTATTAATTCTACAAATTTTCTTCTCAATTGGAACACTCACTCACTCACATGGGGGGGGGCAGGCAAGATGCATAGAAAGGAAAAGAATCCATGGAACTCAGTGAAAAACTGGGCTATAATTCCTGTAGTTAACCCTTCAAGTATGAAAACTGCCATCTTTTGGAGGTTTTGAAGGCAAGTCTCCAAATTACAGACACATCTATTTTTATATTTGCAACTTAAAGCTCAAAATATATTTTTAAAAGAAACAATGCTAAAAGATTTGTTAGATTCCCAGACTTGCTCAACAAGAGTCTATTTACTCCATGACATTCCCAATCTAGTCTGAGTTCTAGATTCATTCATGTGGAAATAGTGTGACATGAAAAGTGCACAAGCACAGAGTCTTGTCAGAGTTAGAAATTCTGTCAGCCAGTTACTAACTGTATAATCAAACAAACTTTTTAACTTTTCAAGTCCTAGATTCTTCATCTTCAGGAAAGCACTTCCTGTCATGAACAGTCTGTAAGGATTAACTATTATACGAATTGTGCTCGCTTCGGCAGCACATATACTAAATATTATACAAATCAACTAGGAGACTGACAGAGTAGGAAGTCAATAAAAGGAATAAATTACAGCCCTCCTTATCTGCAGGTTCAGCAACTGTGGATTCAACCACCCACTGATCCAAAATAAGAGGAAAAAACTGTACCTGTACTGAACATATAAACGTTTTTCCTTGTCCTTATTCCATAAACAATACAGTGTACCAACATTTTTATGGCGCTTACATTTTACTTTGCTTACAAGTAAAGAGAATGTAAGTAAGTTATATGCAGACACCGCTTCATTTCACATCAGAGACATAAGCATTCAGGGATTCTGGTATCCTTCAGGGTACCACAACCAATGGTCATTCTTCATAAATTCTTTTTAACTTCTATACTGTAGTAAACGGCCCATTCTGGATTTATTAAAAGGAATTTAGAATTTGGAACCTGAAAATCTAGGTTTGATTCTAGGCACTATTTTATATGAGCTATTGAACTTCAGGTTCTTAATAATGTCTCTGAACACAGATTACTCAATCAGTACCCAAAAAACAGAGTGAAAGAGGGAAGAACAGTTGTCCACACCTATAGTCCCAGGTACTACTGGGGAGGATGAGGAAGGATGTTTACTTAAACCGGGGAGTCTGAGGTTGGCCTGTGCAATGCATCCAAAAAAAAAAAAAATAATAAGGTACAAGAGAACCAGAGACTTACTGTAACTAAGTGACATAGTTTATAAGCTGGCATAAACTGTATAAGAAAGATTACTTTTCACTTAATACAAAGTGCTCCTGCTCAAAACTTACCCACTTTCCAAGATCAAATTGTGCATAACTAAGCAAATATCATGGAACTGAGAAGAAAGCTAAACCACCTAGCTCACAGTAATATAGAACTACCGACTAGAACGGTGATGGCAAACCTGAGAGCTTTCAATGACAACCAACAGCCCAGTGTGGCACGATTGCAATAGGTTCACCACCACTGTGCTAGAACATCCTTCCTAACCCCAATGAAGTTCTTGTTTGTAGAACTCTCAAAAGTTAAACTGTACACAAGACTTTTTTGTCCTTATCCAAACTAGCAGACCACACCCTGAGAAACCTTTCTTAAGCATTTTTCAGACAGTCTCACTGTATAGTTCAGACTGTTCTTAAAGAAGTGATCCTTCTGCCTCAGTCTCCTGAATCTAGAATGGCAAACATGAGACACCACACTCAGCTTCTTAAGCAGTTTCTACTCCTTTCCACTTAGCTTTCTTTCCTTCCTACTCCCCAAAATAGTTTCCATAACAAAGGCAGTAAGAACTCTAAAGTACAGAAAAATGACCAAGTGTGTTCAAGGTAAGGAGTGACTGTCCTGTCCATAATCCACCAGAAAAATTCAATCATATAAAAACAAACAGAAGATGTAAATAGCAAAGGCATTTCTATAGTCTCTAAAAAAATACTTTCTATTTTTAGTATTATTTCCCCTATCTTTTAAAACTGGGTCCAGCAGGGCATGATAGTCTGTTGACTCTGCAACGTTGGAGGCTGAAGCAGAAGGACAGCAGGTTTGAGCAAAGCTTGGGCAACTGAGTTACTTGGTGAAACCCTATCTCAAAAACATTTTGGGGGGACCAGGGATGTAGCTCAGTGACACCATGCCTGCCTAGCAAGTGCAAGGTCCTGAGTTGATCCCCGGTATAGCAAAAAAAAAAAAAAAAAAAAAAAAAGTAAGACTGGGGATATAGCTCATGCAGAGGTTCTAGGGTGAGGGTGGGCTATAAGTTAATGAAATCTTTTAAGAGCTTCTACCACTACTAATACAATTTAATTAAGTCCGTATGACTCAAAGAGCTAATAAGCTGCTCCTCAACTGCATTAAGGCCAAAAGAACTCAGTAGAACAAGACTAAACTCTCGAAATTTAAGAAAACAAAATAAAAAATTGAACTCACAAAATAAAAACACTGAAGCAATAAGTTAATAGCCCCTCAAAATAGGTATAAAAATATTAAATATTCTCAAAACAAGTGACTATATACTTGACCTAAGAGGAGGCGTATTTATGCCAGCTGTTATTTATAATCAATCAAGACCCAGAGAGGGTGCAGAATAAGCTCTCAAAAGATACCCAAATATATTTCTAGCAGCAGCCATTCCTCAGTCACAGCATCCACACTGGCAGCAGCACCTCTCACCACATGAACATCCACATTTTCTGAGGTTGTTTGACCTGGACCTGATCTAAGTCCCTCGGGAGGCAACTACAGTCATGGATCATGCGGCCCGAAGTCATAAAGACTCCTACCTATGGTACTGTAATAATAATAGCTATGTACGTATTTCATCTTTCAGTAACATCAGAATACCTCACTGGACTCAGGACTAAGATCACCAAAAAAAAAAAAAAAAAAAAAAAAAAATACCAGGGCCAGTGGTCCTTGACACCACGGTCTAACATGATTATCTTAATCAGGGACACATCACCAATCAAGTTTCAAAGTGCTTTAAAGTTACAACAGTGGCAAGATGAAGAGAAGAAACGGGACAAGGAGGGAGGCAAAAGCACCGAGCATACAACTATGTAAAGAAACAGTCAACGGACAGGTTAAAACAGGTTAATTACCAACATCTGCCAAAACATAGCAGTTATCACACCATATACTTGTCAGATTACCCAACACTCAAAACGAAAAGGAGCCACTCCTTCCTACAAACGTCTACAGAGAACACAGAACTTTTCTAAAATGAGGGCAGTTTAACCTCCTGGGTTCTTCCTTTCAAAAGCTTTAAAACTTTCAGCAAATTAAGGTTAGCCTCAATTTCAGGACCTTTTCTGTTAAGTTGAATAAAAGTTGCATATTTTTAATCTTGATAACCTACACCGTCACTCTTCTTTTGGCAAACTATATCCACATTTCTATACGATTTTAAAGTGTTTTTTAAAGGCTAACTATAAAGTTAGCAAAAACAAGTAACACAGTAAACATGGCAGGCATTCAACAATTCCTAAAAGTAAAAGCTTGAAAAAAATGACAAATTCCTAGTGCAACCGTAGATACAATGTTACTAATATGGAAACAAATATTCGAAAAATTCTCAAAATTGTATCTTCCTCTAAAAATAACGCTGAAGAGCGTTTGCCAACACAGAAACCGCTGGTTCTTAAAAATGATAATGACAAATACTTCAGTCCTGAATTGCCATAACCCTGACCCTTCCAAAGCAAATTTTGGTCTTGCCTTAGCAGTAACAAGTAAATTTTCGATGTCATCAACATTGACCAAAAGGACTCTCCTACTTTATTTGTGTCTACTACAAACTGTTAAGTTTACACAGCGAAAGATGTACAAATGAAACTACCACCTCCAACCACCAAAACTAAAAAAAGGTTAAGTACCAATTAAAAGTTCCAAGAATCTTCAATTAAGAAAAACTGGCATAGCACGTTGTGGTTAAACAGCTAAATAAATGTTTGTTCCTTATTTGGATTAGTCTCCATCTCCTATACATTTACTTAGGTTAGAAAGAGAAACCTCGGAAAATAAGCACCCGGCGAGGACACCATTCTGCTTTTACTCACGAAACCAACAGTTCAAGAACTTTTGGAGGAAGAGGGAGGACTGAAGACATTTTTCCTAGCAGATCCGAGGAACTCGCGTCCTACAGTAACGAGCACACACGCCCGGGAGGCGGAAGTGCAGAGAGCGGGGTGGGGTGCGCCGACGCGCGGGCGGGCGGG